AGAAAAAATGAAAAAAATGAAACATGCAAAAGCTAAAAATCAACCTCAGAAATGAGTGATTTGGAACATTATGGCTTACGTTTTGTTAGCACTACTCACATGCAGAAACATACATGCAAGCACTGATTTCAAAGGAAGCAAACTTGTAGCTAAGCTAAACAAATGTATACACTAAGCATGCTTAATATCAGGTAAAAATAGTCAACTTTTCAATAAAATTTCAAGAACAAATAATTTGCAATACTGTTCAAAGGTGTTTAATGGTTTTGAAAGAAGGCTGCATTTAAATAAATGCAAATATAGTACAATTATGATGTATTAGAAGAATTCAAATAGCTGTTTTTATGTGAATATATTTTTTAAAAAATTGTTTTTTTCCGTGATCAAAGCTGAATTCTCAGCATCTCCAGTCTTCTCTCCTATCTTTTTTTTTTATAAAATAAATGCAAGCCTTAGAATTTGGCCAAAAGAGATAAATGAGAAAGGTTTTTATTAGCTATGAAGGAAATAGCAGAAAAATCACAAAAAACACAGTAAAATTAAATTCTCAGGATGTTCTGCCAAGGTTCTCTCAAAGAAAGTTATTAACAAACGTTCTTCGAAACATCTAAAAGATATCCCAGCAAACAAATTTAGGTTTTGGGAACGTTAGTCTTTGGCTCCCAGAACGTTCGTAGAACTTTCCCTTAAGGTTAAGGGAACGTTCCCGGAACATTCTCCTTACGTTATAAAAATGGAACCGATAAATAACCTACATGGAGCGTTCCTATAACGTTCTTGTTTGGTTCCCAAAAAAATAACCTCATGGAACCATTCGGGAACGTTAGGGGAACGTTCTGTGTTTCTGGCTTTAAACGTTAGCACAAAAGCATTCAAGTAATCGAGTTTATCTGGACGCTTGTCTAACGTTTTTAAAAACCTTTTGTTTCAAAACATTTCAGAGAACGTTCAAAAGTAACATTCTTGTAACTTTTGCAAAATCACAAAATGGAACACTCCCGCTAACGTTTGCATAAATAACTTAATTTTTTTTTTTTTGAATGACCAGAGAACATTCAGAAATACTATTTCATTACTAAATGGGAACATACATTATCATAACATTTTTAGAGAATATTTTTGTTAGCTGGGATATCACTCCACGCCCGACACATGGACGCGTGCTTGAGTTGCGGACGCGTGGATCGCATGGCTTTTGTCTGGGAGGAGACAGATATATCTGCTGGAGCAGGGGAAGTTGGCTGGCGGTGTGATTTGGCTGCTTCTTAAGCCAGTTATCTCCGCGCTCCACACTGCTGGTGCTCTGCCAGCGCTCACAGTCCTGAGTGAGGAGGACATTAATGAGTCGTGGAGGGCTGGGACGGGCTACACCGCGGCACTCTCTCTCTTCTGCGGGAAAATGATGTGTTTGAGATTCCCTAATACTAGCTAACCCAGCTGACAAAAACTTGTTTTAAGAACCTCCTGCCAATGATCTTATTAGTTATATTAAATAAATATATGTATTTTTTTAACATTCATTCAGCCATTAATTACTCACCCTCATGTCGTTTTCAAATCCATAAGACTTTCGTTCATCTTCGAAACATAAAGATTCATAAAGATCATAAAACTAATATGAATTGAGTGGTTTACTCAACATTTTCTGAAGAGACTTGATCGCTTTAGACTAGAATAAATTTAATAGGCTTTTATTCACATTTAAACATTCATCCACTCACACATCAGTTGGTAAACAGAAGTTCAAGTTCACTTCAACTTCAAATTTACAAATCACATCAAGCAGGTTGGATTGAGCTTCTGTTTATGTTCATTGATGTTAAAGCAGCATTTGTTTTGTACAGTTAAATATAACTGAAGTGACACCAGAAGCCAGACACATCAAAAACCCCCTATAATTAATAATTGTATCCCTTAAAACTCATCTTTGATCACCAAAAGAATTTTGATTGAAAAAAAAAATTTTTCGTTCCTTAAAATATCTTGAATGTAACTCGACACTTGCCTCAATTTGTATACTCGGTTCTATGAATATGCAAATAAACCCCGCCTCCACTCACTCACTCAGAGATCCACTGGTTGACGATCACACGTTGATCTGGGGTGCGTTTCCCGAAAGCATCGTTACCATTGCAAGCATCGCAAGTTCCGTCGTTATCAGCATAGTTCAACGAGTCGGTGTTTCCCGAAACCATCGTTCCAACGAACATTCGCAAACAGCATCGCAAAGTTGTGTGGTTTGAACGACAGCTCTCGACCTGTGGTTAGAGGCATCGTTTCTATATTGCATAATATATGGCGGTAATAAATCCTTATCATGAGCAAAATAAGCAAGCTGACATTCAGTACAACCGGTGCCTTTTAATTACAATACATACAAATGGAATTTACGTCTTTTAGTTTGTTAAAAGTTCTAAAGTAACGTGTTTGAAGAGTGCGCATGTGCGAACGTGCTCTACTATGTAAGAACGCGCGAGCCAAATACTTAGTTTGGTAATAAAGCAAAATAACTGAGAACAATTAGAAATAGTCCTCAGATGACATGTTTGTAATTTATATAAAAAAAATCTACCGTTGGATCTCAAACAGTTTCATTAAAAGTAGTTATTTATCCACCATGTGCGAAACCAACGTGGTTGAACGATAATTTGCGACAAATGGGAGGTTTCGGGAAACAGTTGTGACTAGCTAGTTAATTTCTCCAACGATGCATTGTACTATGGTAGTGAAGCAGCGAGTTACATCGTTTTACGGGAAACGCACCCCTGATTGGTTATGAGGTAGTAGCGATTTCACACCATGTTTTTGAGACTGTCTTTGGTTCACTGCAGTTTAAGGAGAAAATATTGCAATTTTGTCGACTTATGAATTTGCACATGGTTTGCCTTAAAGCATATTAAAAACACCACATACACACATAAACACCATTAAAAGCTGTGTTTTTACCACAGGGACTTTAACAAATGGCCGAGTTCCCTTTTAAGGCCTGTTCACACCGGGACAAATTTCGATATTCGGCGATGTTTAACGCCTCATCATGACTAAACAAAGGGTGTGCACACCGACGCGAAAAACGCCACGTGTAAAAACGTTTTTTAAGTTCGTTTTTTTTTGTTGTTCTTAGTTCGCGCCACGTCAAAAACTATCTGACCAATGAGATTGGCGCTTTTGCTCACGTGTCTGAAGCTACTTAAGTTACAGTAAAACAAAACTTGGGGCGCTCAAGTAGCGTCTACACTGCCGGGAAGAAATAAGACGATGAAGATGCAAGGCAAAATAAATGTAGAGCTGCTGGTCTCGTTGGTGTCGGAACATAAAGAATTATACCCAGATAGCACACGTACATCTGCAAGATGTCTGTTAAAGATCACTTTATCTGGAAAGCATCTGCTGTTTACTAACATCTGATAGACATCTTTAAGATGTCAGTTTAATATACAGTACATTCTAAATCATTACATCTTAAAGACATCTAAATGTCTATTTGACATCTGACCGGAAATGTCCTATCGTATTGCAGATGAGCAAACACTCTACAGATGTAAACACACACATCAAATAGACGTCTCCGCGACGTACATGTGCTATCAGAGATATGACAAACGCGACTGTTACAAAATAGGACTTTTTCTGTTTTAAGGCCTGTTCACACCTGGACGAATTTCACGTGCGTTATTCGCCGACGTTTAACGCCTCGTGACTAAACAAAGGAATGTGAGTTTCACACCGGCGCATAAAACGCCACGCGTAAAGTCGTCATTTTTAAAAAAACGCCTCGGGTTCGTTTTTTTAGTTTTACGCGCTGCGTCAAAAACTATTCGACCAATGAGATTGGCGCTTTTGCTCTCGTGTCTGGAGCTTCTGAAGAGACATTAAAACGTAACTTGGGGGCGCTCAATCACAAAACGCTCTTGCCGAGCACACATATGCAATGGTGAAGAAGATTTACCGTTGCAGATTTACGCGATGCTGTCTACACAGCCAGGAAGAAATAGACAAGGAAGATGCAAGGCAAGATGAATGTAGAGCTGCTGTTCTCGTTGCCCAGATAGCAAACTGACATTGAATCAACGTGGAAAAATGACATCGAAACAACGTTGATCTGACATTGTTTTGCTCATCGAATTAACGTTGAACCAACGTCAGACGCGTCGTTCTTTCAAAACTAACGGAAAATCAACTTGAAATCAATGTTTTTTCAATGTTATGAAAGCAAACCAATTTTCGATTTTCATTTAGCTTTGAAAAATGCCGCGTCTGACGTTGGTTCAACGTTAATTCGATGAGCAAAATCAACGTTGTTTCAATGTCATGAGAGACGTCGTTTCCACGTTGATTCAATGTCATTTTGCTGTCTGGATGGTGTTAGAACATAAAGAACTATATGACAAACGCGACAGCGACTACAAACATCTTGATAGAAGAGAACTGTTATGGAGTTGTATTGCAGAGCAAATCGGGCGCCATCTAAAGTCAGGGAATAAATTTGCATGTTCACTCGGCTCATCGTCAGCGAAAATCACTTCAGTGTGAACACAAAAAACGCGTTGAAAACGCTGACGAATAACGTGTGCTGATATTCGTTCCAGTGTGTACGGGCCTTTACATTCAGCGCCATCTAATGTTAGGGAAATAATTGGCATGTTCACTCGGCTCATCGTCAGCGAAAATCGCTTCAGTGTGAACACAAAAAACGCGTTGAAAAACGCTGGCGAATGACACGCACCGATATTCATCCCGGTGTGTACGGGCCTTTAGCCAAGCCTGCATAAAAAAATAAGGTGGGTAATGTTTAAAAAATGAGAACGGAATGCTCCTTTGTATAACCGGAAAAAAAAATTTAGAGAACAATAATAACGGTTTCATGACCGTTATCTTAGAGCAGAATCGTGTTAGCTTGGAAGAGGAAAGGCCTATGGGAGGCAGTGATGCTCGAGAATACAGTCCTCGGCTCGACACACACACATACACACACACAACAGCGAGGAAGAGATACAATTCAGTCCATGAGACAGAGAAGGGAAACGCAACCGAAACGCTCTCATTCGCGCAGCCTCCAATCTATTTCTCTCTCTCACTCACTCACTCACTAACACACAAACGCGCGTGTTCTGGTACCAGGAGGCTCGCGCTGTATTGTTTCGGCGGATGGGTGGAGATGCACACACACACACACAGAGAGAGAGAGAGCGCTGAGGATAAGGCATCACGCTGAGGGTAAGTGCTCCACATCTCGGCTCTGACTCACATACAGGTGCTTTTTTCTCTCTTTCTTTCTCTATCTCTCATCCTTTCGCTCCGCCTCATTGGTGCTACCCCCCCCCCCCCATCTCTCTCTCTCTCTCTCTCTCTCTCTCTCTCTCTCTCTCTCTCTCTCTCTCTCTCTCTCTCGAGCTCCAGGGCTGCCTGCCTCCAACCGTCCTCTGCTCTCTTCCTTCTCCTTCCTTCCGTCTGTCTGTCTCCGTCTCTCCTCTTCCTCCGTCGTCCTTCATCGTGTGAAGAATGATTAGCATACAGGAGGCGAGAGGAACTTTCCAGCGCGAGTGAGCAGGAGAGCAAGTGAGGAGGGGAAGATCGTGGGAAAATAATCAGGAGCGATTGGAAAGTTTGAGCGAAGGCAGCGTTTCCACACTGGTGGGTCACTCGTGCTTTATCTTTTTGGCTGGCTTGCTTTACACACTGAAGAGTTGAGCTCTAGGTTTTATTTACAGCGCACTTGCAGGAGACATCGGCTATTATAGGCTACTACTGGATCTTAAGATAATTAGCCTATAATTATATAATTATTCTACAAACAAAGATAGAGACACATGCCGTGCTTTGTCAGATTAACAGACTGTTATCAGGTTGATTTAGACATAATTAATAAAACATTTAAATAATAGCTTTTAACTTGATCATTTAGATGTTTACAGTAGCTATAATGATTTTACTACTCAGTATTTTTTGTCTTGTATTCCACTACAAATATCTAACAATTCTTAAGTCAAGAAGATACATTTTTGAGACGCAAAATAATATATTATAATGATATATTGTCAAATTCAATATATATATATGCATATGCCAACCGGGTATGGATCATAATTTTGGTTTTCCTTTGATTTACATTTATTTTTCTTACCGGACTGTCAGATATATATTTTTTATACACTTTTTTCAAACGAGCCTTAATATCTTATGTTATTTTGCTTTTCATGTATATGTTTAAATGTTTACATGTTTGTACTGGTAAACAAGACCAAAATATTGAGTAAGAAAGTGTGTGTTTTCTTGCAGCAGAAGTAACAGAATGTAAGGAAAGAGTGAAGATCAGTTCAGAAGATGATTTCTAGTAATTGTTCGTAATGCACTGCAGTTGATCTGTCCTGTATGGACCTCACGAGTGTGTGCCGGACGTCTCTCTGCTCATGCTGGATATCTGTGCTTGATGGAAATGTGGATGTGGATGAGTGAGAAGTAAACGTGTGTCTCAGGTCACGAGCTGTTGGGCTTTTTCTCCAGAAGCTTCTGTGGGCTAAGGCTTGTGAGATGGCATATGCTTCTGGGCTGGACTTACTGTAAGGCTCCCTCATTGTTAAGAGAGGTACAGATAATGTGCGCTGCTGGGAAACTTCTGTTTTCTCGAGATGACTGTAGATAAGCTGTAGTCCATGATGAATGCACAGATATGCCTTCAGAAGAGAGTGATTTTAAATGCAGTGGCCATTTTTCCTTCATTAAATATCAGTTTCATGAGCGTTCCTCACCCCTGCCTTTATATTTTGAGTTGTGGCTTTCATACTTTTGTTTCTATAACTAAATCATATGTCAACAACAAACTCACATTAGTTGTTCCTGATATTTAATAAGAAACTGCGGTAACACTTTATTTGACGATGTCCTTGTTACACGTTACATGTGGTTACTGTAGTAATTATGCATAATTACATGCAACTAACCACAAACCAAACCCCAATTCTAACCCTATAGTAACTACATAGTTCATTATTATTATCATTATTGTTTAGTGCAAAATTACACCGTAACACGGAAACCTTAAATAAGGTGTCATTGTTACAGTATAATTATATATTTAAGTACTACACTTACTATAGGGTTAGGGTAGGATTAGGGTTTGGTTGAGGGTTAGTTGCATGTAATTATGCATAATATATAGTTATTACTATGGTAAGTATGTAACACATGTAACAAGGACACTGTTAAATGAACTGCACATGTGAAGGGCATTTAATGTAACAACCCAGCTAACTTCTGTTTAGATACTTCTATTTCTTCTATTATGATTAACAATTTTCAATTTGTGATTCTGACTACACTAAAATGAATTATTAATTACCGAGAAATCTGTTAATCTGTAATTACAGCTACTTTTTTTGCATGTACTTCGATATCTGAAATCATGTTTAAATTCTAAATAAAATGATGAATTAATTCCAATTATAAATGATCTACAAATGTTTGCATAGTGTACACTACAGTATCAAATATTATGTTTACTTTGATATGTCAGTTAAGGCTCAACATTATTGAACTCAATTGTTACGTCATGCATGTGCAGTGTCTCTGGTAGGATAGAGATTATTGTATAATTAACACATCCAGTATACTGTATATATCCAAGTATAGATGTGGTTTAAGGCATGATAAAACTCGGTGTGTGAAGTGTGATTGGATTGAGGAAAGAGTCTTCATCTGACTCCCATTATGCTAATTGCAGTTCAATAGATATCAGCGTGAATATGAAACGTTCACTCCTACTGTATGTCTATTCTCTTATCGTTTCACACTTAGATGCTATTCAGTTTTCAAAGTCTTTGTGCAATTCAGTTTCACGCAATATTAAAAAGGAACAGATCATCAATGCAAAATGACCTAAATATCATCAGTGCATTGCTCACATTAACCTATCCACAAAGATTGTTGAATGGACGACATTTATTCCACTTTCGTGGTGTTTTCATTGATAGATGTGGTCACTATGAATCATCACTTAAACACTTAAAAAAAGTCCCCATAGAACAAAAGTAAAAGGCAATTTTGTTTAAATGGTGTTTTCATTGTGTGCAGAACAGACTTGCTTTACTGACTGCATATTATTGTGTTTTATTCTCTTTTTTTTGTTAGGACATGATGCATATTTTAAAAAGACTTCACAATGACTTGTCTTCAGTTAATCTATTTAGTTACTATACTTACGTAACTTTTTAGCTTCTTAGTACCGAGTATCAAAGATATTAGTAGCTTTTACTCTCTACTTGAATACATTTTTGAACAAGTATGTACTCTTTACTCCAATACATTTGTGATGAGTAATGCAATTGCTTATTATATTTTGCATTTCACCTACTTTTTCTACAGCAGTTTATTCCTGCTACAAAAGAGGTGATATCGCCATCTTCAGGGCATTGAAGGTACTACTTGTGCGTTTGCCCTAATGGCGGGTTCACACACACTGTAAAATGATCGTTATTTTAAACGGTAAAAATGCTACAGTGAAAAACTGTTAATTGGGTACTAGACAGTTTCCTTACTATTTACGGTAAATAACTGTGATCTAATGGTACATTTAAAGTCCCCGTGAACCGGAAGTTGCAAAAGATTTTTCTCCAGTGCTGTGACGTATTTCCAAGTGAAACGGAATATTGAACAGAGGGCAGGGTTTTACTCTAGCGCTCCTCCTCTCCATCTTTCGCTCATAGTAAACTAACGGTTTGAGGGGAGTGGTTAAGCGTTTCCCCACCCAAGTTGTGAAACCTACGTCATCAGAAAAAGAAACCGTTCCAGACCGGAAGTAACTTTTCAGATTTTGATTAAAGATTACTAAGGTAAAACATTTTTTAAATATATTTTTACTTGCACGGATTAATTGTTCACCACAAGACTAGTAATATGCTCTAACAAAGTAAATAGGTTCAATTTTGATTTCACGGGGACTTTAATGTAATTTTACTGTAATTTACCATTATAGTTTTAATTTTACTGTAAAATACCGTTAAAGTTTTTGAAAGTGAAAGACAACAACGTATTGATTGAATAATTTACAGTGAAAAAAACATAAATTGACATTCCCACAATTCTCTGCGTGACACTTCACATTTATGAAATAACTATGTTTATTCATAATTATGTTTCATTTTTTTTCTAATCAGTTATGTACATTAGGGTTTTATGTTGCACGCCAGGTTCACACATTGTACAATTTTGGTCACGATTTAGCTGTTTGAGACAAATTTTGCAAATACACTAAAATCTGAAGTCTTTGATCGTTAGTTTGATATGTTCACCGTTTCAATAAAATGTTTTCTCCGACACATTTCTGTCAGTGTCAGAAGATTTCACTCTCGGTCCTGCGGTGTGACTTCTCCTACGACAATTATCAAATTGTCTTCAGCTATGAAGCCATGACCAAATTGAACTTTAGAGAATTCTTTGTAGCCACCGTTTCGATCTCTCATGTAATGTCATTGATCGTTGATGTAAAACTCCGGACGAGTTTTCTTGCGTTTGCATTGATCTTGACTTTCGTAGAGTCTGACATTAAAGGAGTAGTTCACTTTTAAAAAAAAACGTTTGCTGGTAATTTACTCACCCCCATGTCATCCAAGATGTCCACGTCTTTCTTTCGTCAGTCGAAAAGAAATTGAGGTTTTTGGTGAAAACATTCCAGGATTTTTCTCCATATAATGGACTTCAATGGGAACCAAACGGTTCAAGGTCCAAAAGACAGTTTCAGTGCAAACCGTTCAAAGGGCTTTAAACGATTCCAGGCGATGAATGAGGGTCTTACCGAGGACCCTTCGAGTCATGACTCGAAAAAAGATTTGTTCATTTTGTTGAACGAGTTCGAACAGGAGAGTCACAAAGAGCTTATAAAACTTAAACATTTTCTTTTTTTTAAATGAGCGATCGTTTCGCTAGATAAGAGCCTTTTTCATCGTCTGGTGTCGTTTAAAGCTCTTTGAAGCTGCACTGAAACTCTCATTTGGACCTTGAACCGTTTGGTTCCCATTGAAGTCCATTATATGGAGAAAATCCTGGAATGTTTTCATCAAAAACCTTAATTTCTTTTCGACTGAGGAAAGAAAGACATGGACATCTTGGATGACATGGGGGTGAGTAAATTATCAGCAAAAGTTTTTTAAAAGTGATCTACTCCTTTAATGATAACTGAGGTCTTACAGTGACTTACAGCGAGGATCATGTTCGTACAGTCTGACAAGCAACAATCGTAAAGCACTACTATAAATGTGCATCTGGCTTTACTGGAATGTAAGTGGTATTTGCTGAATCACAGGTGCTTCATAAATGAGATGAGGACAAAGCAGCATGACCATGTAATTTGATCAACATTATTTAATTTCTGTCATATTGAAGAGACATTTGGCTATAGATAGATGCAAACTGTGATAAACTCATTTTAAAATAAATGAATTTCACAGTTATTGAACTGAACTGAATCAACACTGAACTGAATAAATACACTATTGTCTTTTCACTGCTTTACTACAGAATTTGTCTCTGTTTGCATTATTGATCGTTATAATCCTGTTTATTACTGTGAAGCTGCGTTGAAACAATCCGTATACGATGCTATATAATAAATAAAGGTGACTTGACTTGAATAACGTCAC